CTTGTTACTACTAGTAAGGCACTTGTTACTACTAGCGTGGCACTTGTCACTAGTAAGGACGGATGGCCTGAGAGAGATTGGTGAAAGGTACGGAGTCGCCAGATTCGTCGCTGCGGATCAGGCTGAAGAAAAGCGCAAAGTGGACAAGGCGCGAGCGAACACGATGTGTGGATGCCAAAGGCCTAAGGGGCAAGGTCCTAAGAAACCATCTAGGAGCAGGGACGCTACTACAGGAACTTAAAGGGTTTGAGTTACTAATAGCAATGGTCTGCAACCTAGTAGCGATGGCCTCCAATCTGTGATTTGCAAGGAGCTCCACCAGCTCAAGTCCAGGGCAGACACAAACATGGTAGTCCCCTGCCAAGACGAGCACTGAAGCACATGCACCGGCGGCGCACCTCGCGTGTAAACTAAAATCACCGAGGCCACCATGAACCGGGTGGTCACGCAGCTCATTGGCTACTTGGAGCTGAAAAAACACAGAAGATACACACGAGGAACAAGAAGCTATTAGGAGCAAAGGGCATCGCTACTAGGAGCAAGGACGCTACTAGGGGCTCCTGGCCGTACTACTAGGAACAAGAAACTACTAGGGGGTCGTGGCATCGCTACTAGAAGCAAGGAAGGAAGAACAAAATAGAATACAATAGACAAGGAACTAGCGATGGCCTCCCACCTAGATGGCCTCCCACCTAATAGCGATGGCCTCCAACCTAGTAGCGGAAGGAAGGAAGAACAAATTAAGGAAACAAAGAAAAGATTCACAAAGGGTTGACCTTTGTGGCCATGTGAACATTCTTGGCGGCATCAGCGCTATCATTGTTTTTCTGCTTCTTTGTGTCAACCTTTTCCTGCATGCCTGCCATCCTGGGCCTTCCTTTCTTTCTTCCTTTCCTTTCTCAGCACGCTCGTGTACTTTGTTGTGTTCCTTTCAGTTCTCCTATTTTACCTGCCATGGGGCAAGGTGATCAAGACCTGTAGACCTTTGATGCGACACAACTTGGGGAGGAGACTACAGAACGTGTGCCAATGAAACCGCAGTCTTCCATGCATCTTCGCATGCCATGGTTCCGAAACACATTTGGCACCGACTCGAGCGTTTCTTCTTCACTTTTTCTTCACTTTCTCTAGAAGCTAGCACTCACTCCTAAGAAGGCTTCTGTGCACAAAGTCGCAGTTCATCCTCCCAGTTCGCTCCTTTCGTTGCCATAGCAACTGATGCTGGATCTCCCCAAAGTTGAAATGGTCAAAAGGCAGACTTGAAAAGGCCTAACAGAGAAAAACAAGTAACACTAAAAAACGAGAAGGGAAGGAACGGAAGGAAAAAGAAAACAAATGACTGAAAGAAAGAAAGAAAGAACCCACAATGAAAGAATTTTAAAGACCGTCTGAACGCATGCTCGTTCACTTGGCATTCTCGAGCACGGAGGTGAGACTAGGTTGTGGAACAACCAAGAGGCCCCTTGAGTTGCATCCACGTAGGGACCAAACATATTGGTAGCGGAGCGGTTGGCCGCCCGCTAGGGACGGAGCCAGATCCAGGGCACGCTTCGCAAGTTGTTGTTGCCAGGAGCCGTTCGTAGCATTCTTGCTCCTAGTAGCGATGCCAGGAGCCCCTAGTAGCGTCCTTCCTCGTAGTAGTAAGGCCAGGAGCCCCTAGTAGCTTTTTGTTACTAGTGTACGCAACGTCTGCACTCACTTGCGCAATTCGTCGCATTCGTCGAACACGTTTGTTGCAGTTGGACAGGTCCTTTGGAGACCAAACACGGTGATTTACTACTTGGCGATCCGCAGGGATACCATGACTGGGAATTTCAAGCCAAACTGAGGATCCGTTAAGTAAGAGCGAAATTCACGCCAAGGAGCTAACAAGCCCGTGAGCATGCTGCTCAAGGACTCTGAAGAGGGCAAAGAGGTACCGACTATGGAAATACCGAAGGCAAAAGCAAAACCAAAGCAAAAGCGACAGAGTTGTTACTAGAAGCGATGCCCTTGTTACTACTAGCTTCCTGTTACTACTAGCGTGGCACCTGTTACTACTAGAGTGCCTGAGGCTGATCCGAAGTCCAGGAAGTGAAGTCAGACACTTCGAGCGCGCAGCAGACTGATCCGAGGCATTGTATTTGAAGACTCGCAGGAGAGGCTATTGAGGTAACCACGTGATATTCAGCCCTCGAGCACAAGAAGAAGCCAAGGAAATAGGAGCCCCTAGTAGCGTCCTTGCTCCTAGTAGCGATGCCCTTTGCTCCTAGTAGCAAGAATGCTACTAGTAGTAAGGCCAGGAGCCCCTAGTAGCGTCCTTGCTCCTAGTAGCGCACGACAAAAGGCACAGGATCCGTTGAGTCGTCGCCCGCCGGAGAGAGTGTTGCCCCATGCTGGACAACAACGACGACGGCGGCGATGTTGACTAGTATATTTATAGTAGCGTTCGTTTTCGTGAAGGGAATCGTTCATGGGCAGGGCTTTCTCCGACCTTCAATGGACAAGGGAAAAGACTATACAAGGGCTCTAACACAGGAAAGGGATTCTCGACCCGTTCTGCCTATGTCGCAGGTGAACAATTCGTAGGTTTGCTAGGCGAATACGATGGAGATGACGAAGTGTCCGAAGGTCTCACCAAGCCCGACTTTTGAGGTCGACCTTTTCGATGATGTCGACCAAGCCAAGAAAGACCATTGCGCCCAACGCTGTGTCCGAGTTCGTAGATTTGATTGATTGGCGCCAGACTGACTGGAGAAGCCACAAGGGCAAAGGTAAGAGGCAAGGGGAAACTACGTGAGGAATTGTCAGCCCTCAAGGCCAAGAGTGTGTGTTCCCGAGTGTGTGTTTGCTGCGCAGGGTTCGATGCGTCGTTCTCAGGAGAACATGGACTGACGCAGCAAGGAAGATGCCACTTCCTAGCTACGAGCTCGCGCTTGCGAGAACCAGACCAGTTGCAACGTGATTCCTGCGCATCGACCACCATGAAACGTGTCCCGTGGTCTACTTTGCAGACCTTTTGCGGCGCCCAGATTGCTGGCACGAAAGGTCACATTGCCAGCTGGTAGTGGGGGGGATGTCACGCGAGAGCATGCACCTCGCCAGTACCATTCCATTGATGCCGAAGGGAGGAAGACCGGAACCATGATGGTGGCAGGCTGCTTGACCAAGTCGATGAAACCGACCCTACTGATGTGCGCGCTGGGGGGAGTGCATCATCCTTCTCGAGCTGCAGCGCCAATCGCCGAACAAGACTAGAAGAACTGCGCAGAGTTGGTTGCGTATGAACGCATGCTCGTTCATAGGCATTCTCGAGTGCATAGGTGAGACTAGGTTGTGGAACAGCCTTTGTGTTTGCGCCCCTTGCGTCCGCATAACCCGAAGGACAAAACGGGCATGAGTTGTCGGTATTTTTGAGTTTTGTCACTGGGGCGGACATGTATCAGATTAGAAGGTGCTGTAGCGCCTCACTTTGGTGGAGTGGAAAGAAGTTTGTTCAAGAACTAGGACTTTGCTTTTTGAGTGGGGTATGATCTCAAGAGTTTTTTTATAAGTTACTTTGCACTTTCACAGGCAAGAACCGCAAAGAGTTTGCAGTTGCAAATCTCTTGAAGGTCAAGACAACAACCTCCTACAGGTTGCAGTCTTTGGATGGTGGAGAACAGCAGCTAAGGAGAGTCGGGCATGTTCAATGATGTTGTGCCACTCCATATTGTATCAAAAGGCATTGGTTGGATAATTTCACACCATTGCTGCCACGTGGCAACTGGCAGGAGGAAAAACTTTCGCGGAAACAGGCTAACGCGCAGCAGGCCCACGAGGACACAATAAATTGTGTCGTTGGTTGCAATGGTTGTTTGAAACCTCTTCCCTTTTCCAGGAGGAGGTGCGACAAATGCGACAACTTCATGGTTTTGGCCCAAGTGCTTGGGAGCATCAACCAAACTGTTGGTCATGAAATCGAAACAGTTGAAAGCTTTGGACAGCTTTGGTGTCTAAGCCAACATAAGCTCTTTCCGACGTGGTTGCCAGATTCTGGAAGTTCCGGGAATCGTGCTCACTGGTAGGGCCTATTGAAGGTTTAGGGTTGCGGACAATTCCGGAGGAGGTTCCGGAGGAGATTGCTGAGTTCCATCAACGTTTCGCAGATGGTTCTTGCATGCATAGGTTTGTCATGTTCTACGGTTGCACAGTTCTTGCAAGTTTCTGCTATTTGACATGTCCATCCACACGCGCTGTTGAGGGTCACACTTGTGCATAATTTTTGAATAATTCGTCCATTCTCTTGATCAGGTGATGCCAAAGACAAGTTCATGGCGACATTAGTCGAAGGCACAGCCAGACAGCACACTGAGCTTGCCCCACTGAGTTGCAAGTTCCACCTAGGCTGCATCGTCGGTTTTAGGCATTCGAGGTTCACCAGCCCTTTACCACTCCTCGCTTGTCCTTTCTACATGTTCTACGTTACTAGGGCAAACCAATGGTCTAAAGAAATAAAGGAAGAAGGAAGCTACTAGGAGCAAAGGGCATCGCTACTAGGAACAAGGACGCTACTAGTAGCTCCTGGCCATACTACTAGGAACAAGAAGCTACTAGGAGCAAAGGGGAAGGAGGAACCTGCGATGCAGAGCAGCGCAGCGCCGAGCGGTGCAGGGAGAAGGAAGATCCTACTGTTCAATTCCGCACGGCTGGAGTCTTCAGTGCATTAGGTTGGAGGCTAATAGGTTAGAGGTCGTCGCTACTAGGTTGGAGGCCATCGCTGTTGTCGGCGAACTGGCTGTGCTTTGCTACTTGCTGAGGCAATGCCTTACAGCTTGGAACCAGCTGGCACATGGCTCGGATGATGGGTTCTGTTGAACTTATCCAATCGAATGTCTCATGCAAAATTCTTAGAAGTGAGTTGTAGGCCTTGCAAGCGTTGCAAAAATGATTCGTTTCATGGTACTCGTCCTGTTGAATTGGAAGGTTTGCGGAGAACTTTGCAGAAAGCTCATACCAACTCGCATGCGAGTTTCAGACTACAAAAAGAAATGCAAAAGCTGCTTCAGAAAAGAGTTCCAACAAGGAAGGGAGCAGATGAAGGAACCCTTCGGAGCACAACAGAATCCCGCCGTGCCAAAAACATATCACATCGTCATGAAGCGGCTGGCAACGAACGAAGCGTTTACATGCCGTGGGCACACCATTGGCACACGATGGTTCACAGCGCCAACGCGCAGTCAGGTGTCAGTTGGCTCTAGACCCGCAGACGTTGCAGACGCTCTCAACGAATTGGAAGGGCAACAGCTCGCAGCCCCTTGCGCCGCCACAAGCAGAAAAGAACTCTCAATGCTTTCTGAGTACTGCTATGTCAGCTGCGAACGTGCCAACTGGCACCCACTGAGGGAACATGTTCATTGTTAAGAATGATACTCAGAAAAGAAAAGGGAAGGAAGGAAGGAAGGTCTAAAGGCTAAAGGTCTAAGCAAAGGAAGGACATTATCCTGGCAAGAGACACCAAACAGTGTTGAAGAGAACAAAACAAGACCCGCGCTCTAGAGCACATACATGAGGGCGCATGCATGAGAACACACATATGAGAACACCAATATTAGAGCATCACAAGTGAGAGTGCGCATAATATGGGAGCAGACATGTATGAGAACACAGAATCGCTTTGCGCCACGAAATCGCTGCCCCTGCCACGAAATCTGCACATCAACATTCACATTCCACAGCCCTGCTGCGGCCTTTTGCAACAAAGGCACTTCCACCCGCGAGCAAACCCAACCTGAACTACTACCATAAGAATGCCTAGTGTGACCACACTTTTGGATGAAAAAGAAAAAGAGGACAGATGAGATAAGACTGCGACGCATTTTGACCTGGAAGCTCGTTGAGGCATATGAGAATCACTTGGAGACTGCTCGGGGCCAAAACAGGACTCATTCAGATAGGCGCCAGGCGGTTTAACAAGGCAAGCTAGAATGGTGCCATTGTGTTTTGGCTTGTTTACTACTTTTCTTTGCACCAGTATTTTTGTTCATTGTTTTCGGTTGTTTTTCTCTTGAGGCGTTAGAGCTTTTTTTAATATATGTCCTTTCAAAAGGAACCTAGGAAATCGCATTCGTCAAGAGAAATTGCACAAATGCTCAGTCGCTCAGGTGAGGCAAAAGCAAGAAGAACAACACAAAGAGGCATTTCATGATCCCATGTCACTGCAAGAAGCGTGCCTCTGAAATTAAACCAGTCAGAAACTGGACCAGCAGGGCTGACTGAGTGCGACATTTCACAATCAAATGAATCAAAGAGGCCCCTAGTAGCGTCCTTGCTCGTCTTGATCTTGAGAGGAATTCAACAAGTTCAAATACAAAGCAGACAGGTACATGTTGGTCCCATGCTGAGTGCCCGCACAACCTGCAGCGAAGAGAGAACACGTACACAGGCACAAACGGCGAAATGAAATTACTCAAGGTGACCAGAGACCGAATGGCTATGCAGCTTATTAGCCCCTTGGAAAGCCAAGAAGATTCCATTTTATTTTTTTGATTGCCCAGAATCTGTTTTTTTTTCCAGGCCATGACACAGACCAAGTGCTGGCCGCGGTCGTTGGATCGTGGAAGACTGCAACTCAGGAGAGTTGATTGAAGAGTTTGAGCAAAGTGTTCTCACAGAGGGCTGGCCGAAATATATCTTCACGTCTTCTCTTTTTCTGAATGCGTAGCGAAGGGTTCCCATGTATAGTCTGGGGATATGAGGGTTGGACCTGTCTTTGCGTCATGTGTGTTGTGTCGTCGTCGGTTTTGGATGGAAGCATGGCGTGTGGAAACGTATGGAAACGTCACGTGTTGAAGCTTGGATGATTTTGCTGCGCAGGTGCAGCGTTACTAGGAACAAGAAGCTACTAGGGGCTCCTGGCATCGCTACTAGGAGCAAGAACGGTACTAGGGGCTCCTGGCCGTACTACTAGGAGCAAGCAACCACTACATAGTAGCTATTTTGTGAGATTCGCAGTGTCCTTCAGCCTTTGCTGTGAGAGTGGGATTGGCGTTTCGGGCCGGTGCTTCGAAGCTGCGCGATCGTACGAAGCGCTTGTTTTTTGAGACGCCCTTGTTCCTAGTAGCTTCTTGTTATTTGCTTCTGGAGCAGTACGGGAAGCGGCTTGGCCTAACTGCAACTGTGTGGTACAAAATGTAGTGCGAACTCACGGCCTCAGTGGAAAGCGCATTTGTGTGAGTCCCTGCCACTGGGGGACGGAAAACATGCTGGTGTAGATGCAGCGTGTCGCTGGATGGTTGGAAGTGCCCACGAGGCTTGGTGTTACATTGTTGTATCTATGTAGTCTGTGGCACACCACAAGAGTGTCACGGGAGAGGGCTCCACAAAAGTCTCCAACAAGAGTGTTTCAAGAGAGTGTTCCACCAAGAGTGTGTTGGTGTCACATAGTGGACACGGCGCTAGAAACGCAAGTGGGAATGCGCTCGATGCCTGCAATGCGGCACCACACGTGTGAGCACGAGAGAACCGGCTGTATCGGTGGCAGGGCTCAGAAAAAGAGACGCTCATGTAAGCGCACTGCACGCTGCAGATGTTTGACTTCTGTCGGGTCTTTACCTGTACTCACTCACATCTGCTAATTAATCAAAGCCTCTTCTTGACACACCTTCATACTATTATATCTTTTCGCTCTCAGGCCACCCGTGGTCAAGTTAGTCTCAAGTTTGTCCACAGCATGGTTAACGATGTTTCACATGTCTGCTGTCTGCAGCTGAAGCGTTGAAAGCGTCCTTGCAGGAAGGAAAGTTTCTTCGGCAACAGGCTAGTGTGTTGCTGCTCGATTGAATACGTCTTGAAATCTTGCAACATCAGGCTGCAGAGAAATACAAAATGCAGCAGGCCTGAGTGCCAGGAAATTTCACAATCAAATGAATCAAAGAGCATCTTGATCATGAGAGGAATTCAACAAGTTCCAATCAAAAGCAGACAGAAACATGTTGGTCCCATGCTGAGTGCTCGCACAACTTGCAGCGAAGAGAGAACACGTACACAGGCACAAACGGCGAAATGAAATTACTCAGGTGACCAGAGAACGAATGGCTATGCAGCTTATTGGCCCCTTCGAAAGCCAAGAAGATTCCATTTTATTTTTTTGATTGCCCAGAATCTGTTTTTTTCCAGGCCACGACGCAAGCCATGTGCTGGCCGCGGTCGTTGGATCGTGGAAGATGGCACTCAAGGAGAATCTGTTGAAACATTTATCAACAGAGTTTCGTCTCCCAATTTGTTACCAAGGTGTCATGCTTTTGTTACCTTTCCATGTTTTCGCTGTCAGCAATTGAAGCATTGACAACACTTGGCAGAGAGCATCCTGGCAGGAAGGAAGACTTCTTCGACAACAGGCCAGTGTGCTGCTGATGGCCTGAATGTGCTTTTGAAACCTTGTGCAAAAGACAGGCTACAGAGAAACACAAAATGCAGCAGGCCTGACTGAGTGCTACGGTAGGAAGGTTCACTATAAAACGAGCCAAAGAATGTTTGATCTTGAGAGGACCTCAACCTGTTCAAATCCAAAGCAGAGAAAAACATGATGGTCCCATCCTGAGTGCAGCCCGCGCGACTTGCGAGAACAAAGAAAGAGAGAGAGAGAGAGAGCACCCACAAGCGCCAATGCCACGGCTGCCACAAGCG